AAACTTTCAAATAGTTACACCCCCATCAAGGCAACAAGACCAGATTGTGTTACAGATGAATTTGACAAAGGCATTAAAGGGCAAATAATTCAATGGCTTTTTTTTTTTTTTTTGAGATGGAGTCTTGCTCTGTTGCCCAGGCTAGAGTGCAGTGACACAATCTCAGCTCATTGCAACCTCTGCCTCCTGGGTTCAAGCAATTCTCCTGCCTCAGCCTTCCCAGTAGCTGGGATTACAGGCCTGTGCTGCCACACCTGGCTAATTTTTGTATTTTTAGTAGAGATGGTGTTTCACCATGTTAGCCAGGCTGGTCTTCAACTTCTGACCTCAAATGATCCATCCACCTTGGCCTCCCAAAGTGTGGGGCTTATAGGAATGAGTCACTGTGCCCAGCCTCCAGTGGCTTTTAAACAATTCTATCTCCTTGGAAAATAAATGAAACTGAAATGGGAAAGGTCCCCCTCGCAGGGCGTGCAAGGGGTGTGTGGCTGGCTTCTTCAGTACCCTACTGCTCAAACCTGTAGGCCAGGCTGTGGGGCTCTGACACCATGGCAGTGTCCAGGGGTAAAGGCTTACTGCAGAAGCCCCAGTGGGCGGGTGCTCTTTTAGGTTGCTGTCTATAGGTGGCTTGTGTAAACCAGCTCAGTTAGACCCCCTTTCTTATCACAAGGACAGAGATTTCTGTATCCCAAGGTTTTTGCCTTGGTGTAGCAGAAGAATAGGATCACATGTGGGCTTGGAGAACTAGTGTAACGTTTTATTGAGTAGTACGTAGTAGCTCTCAGCAGATGGGGGAGCCAGAGGGGAGATGGTTTTCCCTGGAGTCGGGCTGCTCAGCGGCTTGACTTCTCTGACCACTCCAGCCAAAGTCCATGTCTTTCCGCTGGTCCAAGGCCCGCGTCCAAGGCCTTGCGGGCCTGCAGTGCCTGTCGGCAAGCTCTTCCACAGGCCGGGCTCTCGGCCTTTTGCGTCTTCTTCCACCGACACGCTCCACCCAATATCCAACCACTTCCATGTCTGCCCACTACGGTCTCAGGCTTTTATAGGCCCAGGATGGGGGCGTGGCAGGCCCGGGTGGTCCTGGGAAATGCAACGTTTAGGCCGGAAGTCCCTGCCCTCGCCTAGGTCCATGTGGGTGGAGCCCTAGCCCGGGACCGTCTTTCTCTACCCAGCGCTTCCCTTCCACTATTCTTTATCGTCTGAAGGGGCCATGCGCTTCCCTTCTCAGCACTCCGGTATCATTTCCGCACTCTGAAGAGGAACCTCTGACTGTCTCTGGAATAGGTATGACGACCAGTCTTAGCTGCTTCCTACTCACGAGGGGTGCTGTTTTGGAGGAAAAAGGCAGTCAGACTCCTCCCAGAGGAGGAGCCTAGCAAAGGGGAGCCATCACCTGACGCTCCGGTTCTCTTCACTGAGGCTCCAGACAACGTTTGCAGTTTAATGGCTTCTAGGTGTGAGAGAAAAAAAGTAAGTTTTTGTTGTTGTTCTTGTTGTTGTTTTGAGACGCAGTCTCACTCTGTCACCCAGGCTGGAGTGCAATGGCGCGATCTCGGCTCACATGTTTAACCCGTGCATACTTAACCTTATAAGAGCAAACTTTTATAAAAACGTGTATTATACAGGAATTAAGTGCCAAAGATTACAGCAATAAGAAGTGAAATATACTAATGACGACGTTGTACCCTGAGCTATTTCACCCTGGTGAAAGAAATTAAACCTTGTATGGGAGCGGTTAAACTTTTAGAAGAGAGATAGCTATTCTTGCCATATCTTGTAGCAGTTAACAGGTACAGCCTGGGAATACCTGTATCTCCTCTCTCTTTCGCAGGCCTTCCTGTCTCTATTATAAAAGGCCGAGGTGGCCACTTTCGGGAGGTCCTCCAATGTACTTTCTGGTCCCAGGGCCCATTTTGGCAACTTCCTCCTGGTATCAGGAGAAAGCCTGAGTAATAAATTTATCCTTTAGGATTAACTGTCCCTCTACTGAATCAGGAGATAGAGAGGTGTGCTTTACCAAGGCCTCTCTTAGCCTTTCCAGGAAGGCAGTGAGATTTTCATCAAATCCCTGGTTGATCAGGGACAGCTTAATATAATTGAGAGGCTTGGTTCTAGTCCTTCCTAAGCCTTGTATTAAGCACACCTGAAAGTGTCTCGGCCTCTAGTCTTCCACCTCATCATTGGGATCCCGTTTGGGTAATTCACTGGTATTTCTCTTTGGGTTGGATGTTCTCTCACTTCCTAATGCTGTATGTGATACAAAGCTCATCCCCAAATCTCTCTGCTGATTGCAGAGCAGCCTGTGTCCGTCAGGGTCTGATTCAAAAGTAACATAACGTCTCTCCAGGAGAGTTCAAATATTTGAGTGAAATTCTGGAATGCCTCTATGTATCCATCAGCTGAAGCTGGATAGGGAGGTAGGGGTGGACCTGGAGGAGCAGGGCTTGGGGGAGCTGGCTCCTCTGCTGGGGGTGCTTCTGGGATTCAGATCTTTAATTCCCTGGGCCTGCCCCTTGCAGCCTTCCCTAAGATAGCAAAGAGGAGGGATGGATCAATCTTACATTGTTGACAAAGGTCTGGATTGCCTTGCAAGATATGGAAAGCCTGCATATATGGGGGCTCAGTCCTCACGTCTACAGAAAAGTTCCAACTACTGGATGGTATCAACATGAATTGTTGCTTTCTGGGGTTAACTCAGTCCTCCATAATTTGGCCAACCTTTGTGCAGAGGGCTGAGGCATTCCTCCTCCAGATTCTGAGGGTCAAAGCAGTCCCAATGGTTCAGGATACACTCCAGAGGAGTATAAGCTGGGGGTGGTGAAGAGAACTGGTTGCCCATTCTGAAAGATGGGAAATAGAGGCGTCCCTCATTCCCTTTCTTCTTTCAGCAAAAAATCAGGGTGTGATGGAGAGAGAAAGCGGAAGTCCTCCCTTCTTCTCCACTCCTTATCCCTGAGTCCTGGAAACTTTGTCAAGTGCTGGCCATAGGTACCAATGCAGTATGTACCCATAAAGCAGGGAAATCCTGAGGAATAGGAATTAACCACCCTCACCTATGCCTCCATTTCTTCCTGCTGTTTGCAAACTTGAGTTCCCTGGGCCTGTTTATGCCACAAAGCATGGTCTTCTGTAGGATGGAGGGTTCGGTCAGCAGGAATTGGTCCTGCCCATTTACATTGTACCTGTTGGCTTGGCTTTAGATCCCTCAGACCTGGTTTTTCTTTCTAAAGCCTGTGCTCAAAGGTTGGAATTGAGTTTGGGACTGAAAAGGCATTCTAGAGGCTGTTTGCATCTGTTTAGAGTGTCTCAAATGTGCCGTCAAATTTGCACTTTATAGCCAGCAGGGGCCATTCCTTCATTAACTTCCCTATCAGAAACAGAGAGAGAGAGAGAGAGAGAGAGAGAGAGAGAGAGAGTGTGTGTGTGTGTGTGTGTGTGTGTGTGTGTATGTGTGTGTATGTGTGGGGTTCTCACTTAGAAAAGGAAAAAAGAGAGAAATAGTTTAAGGGGGAAAAGGGGGAGATGCTGGGGAAACCCCTTGCTTAGTGCAAGTGAGCCTTTCTAATCCTTACATCTTTTCTTCCAAACTGGCTTGAATTCCTTGGCCAGGGAGAAAAAGTTCTATCCGTGAGAAGTGCTTGTCTGTTGGCCCTGTAGGATCACAGCTACCATCACGGCTTTCTCCCACTCGTCTTGTGGCTGTTGGGCTTGGCCTTTGCCTGCTACAGGCACACCTGGGTGCCAGAGCTGGGAGGGGAAAGGATAAGGAGAGATGCCCAGAGCTGTGCGGACATGCTGTCGAGGCATACATGCCACCTCCAGGAATAGGTGGTTTGATTTGCACCTTTGACAGCTGAGCCTAAGTAAAATGCGCATTTTACTTAGTAACATTGCTGCAGCCTGTAGCAAAACTCTTAACATTATTAAGGAAGGTAAAAGAGCCATTTCAAACCACATGAGAGCGAGAAAAGTCTGGGGGTTTTGACTGTCTGGTTAGGGTGGTTTAAAACTCTGTAAAGAGAAACAGAGCCTCTTACTCGAAGGAAAGAGAGAGGTGTCAGCGTTTTGGAAGAGAGGCAGACAGGACAGTTTGGTATTTGCTTACACTCACCTGCTATCTCAGACAAGCTCCCGGTTGAAATGGGAAAGGTTCCCTTTTCCTTCTTGCAGGATGTGTGATGGGGTATGGCTCACTTCTTCAGTCCCTTGCTGCTCAAACCTCTAGGGGAGCATACAGACAGGCAGGCCATGGGGCTCTGACCCCCTGGCAGTGTCTAGGGGTGAATGTTTAAAGCCGAAGGCCCAGTGGGTGTGTGTTACAGTGTGCTCTTTTAGTTTACCCATCTGTAGGCAGCTTGTGTTACTCAGCTCAATTAGACCCCTGCCTTATTGCAAGGATGGAGAGTTTTCTGTATTCCTGGGTTCTTGCCTTGGTGTACCCGAAGAATCAGATCACACGTGGGCTTGGAGAACAAATACAAGGTTTTATGGAGTAGAAGTAGCTCTCAGCAGATGGAGGAGCCAGAAGGGAAATGATTTTCCCCTGGAGCCGGACCACACAGCAGCTTGACTCTTCTCTGACTGCTCTGGCTAAAACCACCTGTTCTGCCAGTTGATGGCCTGCTGCTGCTCTTCCGTCTTCTGCCAGCGGGTTCTCAGTAACCAGAGCTTATGTGTGTCTTCTTCCACTGATGTGTTCCTCATGACGCCTAGCTGTTTCTGTGCCTGCCTGCTAGGGTCTCAGGATTTTATAGGGCCAGGATGGGGGCATGGCAGTCCAGGGTAGTCTTGGGAACTGCAACATTTGGGCAGGAAATGTCTGTCCTCACCTATGTCTGTGGGGGCGGAGCCCTAGCCAGAGACTCGCCTTTCTGTACCCAGCACTTCCTTTCCCTCTTTTCCTATCATTTAAAGGGCCCACACTGTTCCCTTCCCAGCACTCCTATATCAAAACCTCCATATTCTCTTTATGAGACAAATATAACTGGGCCACATGTCAGGAGATCCCTGGTGGTTGGCCCGAGGGCACCTGTATTCTGTGGGCTGGCTGGGGTGCTCAGGTCAGGGTGGGGACAGGTATAACCTCTGTGCGTCATTGTCTACTGGTGCCGCCGGACATTGCTCAAACTGCCAGCACCGTGAAGACCTGGACTTCAGAGCATGTCTTTAAACACTCATGGGAAACTGTTATGACAGCTGTAATGCAGAAATACCCAAACCCTATGAATCCAAGTGTAATTGGAGTTAATGTGTTGAACAGACATGTAGATCCCTGTGGAAAGTTGCACAGCCACAGATTTCTCAGCACAGAGTGGGGACTGCTGTCCATTGTGAAATGTCTTATTGGTGCAACAAGAACCAAAACATGTATGCAAGAACATTCTGTTGATCCTGTAGAGAAAGCGATGGAACTTAAATATACTAATATTTCATTTACAAATATGGTTTCAGTAGATGAGAGACTTATGTACAAACCACATCCTCAGGATCCAGAAATAACTGTTTTGACTCAAGAAGCCATAATCACCTTGAAAGGAGTTAGCCTCCGCAGTTACCTTGAAGGACTGATGGCAAGTAGGATATCCTCAAGTGTGGTAAAGAGAGTGAAGCAATGGCATGAGTAATACACAAATTAAATGCTGAGACTGGGCTAGGCACAATGGCTCATGCCTGTAATCCCAGCACTTTGGGAGGCCAAGGCAGGTGGATCCCTGAGGTCAGGAGTTCAAGACCAGCCTGGCCAACATAATGAAACCCCATCTCTGCTAAAAAAGTATAAAAAATTAGCTGGGTGTGGTGGTGGGCACCTGTAATCCAGCTTTTGGGAGGCTGAGGCAGGAGAATAGCTTGAACCTGGGAGGCTGAGCTTGCAGTGAGCAGAGATCGCACCATTGCACTTCAGCTGAGATTGAAGAATTGACAGCCTCAGCAAGAGGAAGCACAAGGACTCCAGTGGCAGCAGCAGCATTTGCAGAGAAGTAATCATGAAAGTTGGTAGACAGCATTGGGTACCCCAGGTCTCTCCAAGCTGACTATATCTTTATTTGTCATTTTAAAATTACAATTATATTTTAGGGAGAATTTTTTTTGATAAACTGGCTATGTGACTTTTGATCAAAACAGAAGGGCTTCTAAATGGATCATCTGAAATTAATGTTGTTTGAAATTACTATCTGATTCTGAGGGTTCCAATATTTATGTGAAAAATTAACAAGAAGTCCTTGGAAATTGGTATGGGCATTAAATCTCCTTAAGGTAGAATTTTAAAGCTTTAAATACATTGGAACTCCACCTGCCTTTGGACCAATTCCAAAACAGAGCAGAGCCACTTCCTATAGATGCCCATTGCTCTGCTGCTGTACACTTCAACAGCTTGCACAAGGGAGTGCACTTAAAAGGAGAAATTGTGTAGTTTTAAACTATATATTGTGTAAAGTAACTTGCTCTGCTATAAACCACCATTAAAAACCAGTGTTTTGGTACTTAAATATTTTGGGAGTGAAAATTATCATTAAAGTGAGGTATGACTCCAACAAAAGTATAGTTTTGTGTTTTGTTTAGTTTTGAAACAATGTCTTGCTCTGTTGTCCAAGCTGGAGCAGTGGAGCGATCTCGGCTCATTGCAGCCTCCTCCCAGGTGGTTCTTGTTCCTCGGCCTCCTGAGCAGCTGGGACTACCAGTGCGCACCGACACTCCTGGCGAATCCTTATACTTTCAGTAGACATGAGGTTTCACCAAGTTGGCCAGGCTGCTCTTGAACTCCTGACCTCAGGATCTGTTCACCTCAGCCTCCCAAAGTGCTAGGACTACAGGCATGACCCACTGCGCCAAGCCAAAAGTATGGTTTCATTATATTAAAGAGTACTGTATTGACTTTGCCAAAGTTTTGTAACTTAGTAAAGGTATTATCTTACTTGGATTTGTACTTTATGATTTAGTCTGCTGTACCATGGGCTGGTTATGCTAACTGAAAAAATAAAGTCATTACCTGAGTTTTGCAGCACTCTAACTTAAACAGAAGAACAGCTGTTCGCATCTTTTAGCACTTCACATTTGCCTAACTTAAAAATTGGCATATGTCGAAATCATGGTTTGTGATTGCTAAGGCATGATATATGTTAGGTCATTTGAATATAATTACTTTTTGAAGTAATTGTGACCACAAAACATCTTTTTTACGTGAAGGAGCTGTACATCATTTGAAAATATTCAATATGATGTATAGCTCCTTCACGTAAAAACCATTTGAAATTATTCAAATGATGTCTTGTTCTGAAGCATAAACCCCAGGTACTTACTGTAATATGGTGCCACTGTAGAGTTTGGGGGCAGTGGGGAAGAACAAGGACAATGAAGAGGGGAGGACTGGCCTGAAATTAACCACTAAGTGAATTGCAATGCAGCTTTTATTTTTGGGAACCCCTTGTTTGGGAGGTCAGAGGGCAGCTGCAAACTGAAAAACAATCCAGTAAATGTACTTTGTTTCATATTTTGTAGCAGGCAATAATCACTAAATAATAGCTTTGACATTTGCAGTGGTCGCATACAAAGTATTTTTGCTAGAAGATGATTAGCTCTCTTTTATTTTAGAGTGCTTAATGTGATAAACTTTAGTCAGTGTTTCCTATCAAAGAGATCAGTTAATATCTGTACATAAACCACAGAAACAGCATAAAAACTATTTTAATAAATAATATTTTAAAATTATTGTTTTTCTACTTAAAATATTATTTGGCTCAAGACTGCTTAGGACATTTATAAAAGCAGGTTAAATTTAATAAGGTTTCTGAATTTTTTTTGTAACTGGAGATACCTTTTACCAGTGAAATAATGTTTCAGCTAAATGAAACCTTGCTAAATACTGATATTTGATAAAAAGTTACCTTGTATAATTTCTGCAAATTTTCATTGTTCTGAAAAATGTGTAATGCCCTAATGATACAAGATTTTAAAACAAATCCTTATCCTTTGTATGATTTTTAAAACTCTGATCTAATGTTACAATTTTACAAATTTTTATTTTCTAGTGCAGTTAGTTACCTTTTTAAAAAAATAGCTGGTAATTCATAGCTTTTGCTTGTTAAATATAAATGCACAGCAAGCAAATGAATTTGGGAGGACTAAACTGGAATAAAATGTTCATAAATGAAAATCTTCAATGATTTAATATTAAAATTGAAACGTTAATTAAGAAAAACTTTTGTTAATAAAAAGTTTCTTTTTGAAAAAAGAAACAAATATAACTAAAGATCAGATCCACTTATAAATGTCAATGCAATAATCCACAATAAAACATTGGAGAATATACTCCATAAAAATATTAAATTAATATTATGGCCAAGTAAATTAGTTGAGGAGGGCAAGAATAGTTTAGGATTTTTTTTTTTTTTTTGGAAGGAGTTTTGCTCTTTTTTTGCCCAGGCTGGAGTGAAATGGCATGGTCTCGGCTCACTGCAATCTCTGCCTCTTGAGTTCAAGTGATTCTCCTGCTTCAGCCTCCCAAGTAGCTACCACACTGGCTAATTTTGTTATTTTTAGTAGAGATGGGGTTTCACCATGTTGACCAGGCTGGTTTCAAACTCCTGACCTCAGGTAGTCTGCCCACCTCAGCCTTCCAAAGTGCTGGGATTATAGATGTGAACCACCACGCCTGGCCCTAGAAAATCTATTAATATAATCTATCAAATTAATAGTTTTTAGAAGATAAACTATTGATCATCTCTATAAATGTTGAAAGGCATTTGGCAAAATTCAACAACCATTCTTGACTTGAGACAAAATTCAGTGTGACAGGAAAAGACAGATCCTTAAAATGATGAGATAAAGCTTTTTTTTTTTTTTTTTTTGGCCCCAAACCGAGATTATTTCCTTTGATATCAGAAACATGACAGGGATACCCACTATCATCACTTCATACTGTGCAGGAGGTATTAGTCAATGCAATTAGCAAAAAGGAAAAAAACAGAAGTATGAAATTGGAAAGAAAGAGGTAATGCTATTATTATTTTTTAAATAGATACAAAATATGCATAGAATGTGTAATGATTAAGTCAGGGTGTTTGGGTGACTAGCACCTTGAGTATCATTTCTATATGTTGTTAACATTTCAAGTCCTCTTTTCTAGCTACTTTGAAAAATTCTTTGGAATGTTGCTAACAAAAATACTATGCGATGTTGCTAACTATGGTTACCCTACTCTCCTGTTGTATATCAGGGCTTATGTGTTCTATCTAACTGTATGTTTGTACCCACTAATTAACCTCTCTTTATCTTTCCTCCCACCCAAACACTCCTACTAGCCTCTAATATCTATCATTCTATTCTCTATCTCCATGAGGTCAATTTTTTTTAGCTCTCATGTGTGAGTGAGGACATGTGGCATTTGTCTTTCTGTGCCTGACTTATGTCACTTAACATAACCTCCAGTTCCATCCATGTTGCTGCGAATGACACGAGTTCATTATCTTTTATGACTGAATAGCACCCATTGTGTGTGTGTGTGTGTGTGTGTGTGTGTGTGTGTATGATATTTTCTTTATCCATTTATCTATCGATGGAGCTATTGCTATTTTCAGATAACATGAAGACCTAGGTGAATCAACTGCAAAACTATTACAAACAATAAAATAATTTAGCAAGTAACACAAAGAAACCAATACATATCAGACACAGAAACCACAATCACCTAGAGCTATAATGGAAGAAAATCCCCCAATATTATAATATTTTTAAAAAGTAATTAACAATAAATGAAAATATTTATATGAAGGAAAGCCTAAAATATTTTAATTTGAGTTCCAGAAGGACAGGAGAGTGAGAATGAGGAATAAACAACATTTGAGGAGATAATGGCTGAGAATACAGCCGTACACCACATAAAAATGTTTCAGTAAGCAAGAGACCGCAAATACAAAGCTGGTCCAAAAGGATTATGATACCATATTCTTACTGTGCCTTTTCTATATTTTGATACACAAATGCTTACCATTGTGTTATAATTGCCTACAATATTCAATGCAGTAACGTGCTGCACAGGTTTGTAGCCTAGGAGCAATAGGCTATACCATATAGCCTAGGTGTGTAGTAGGTTACGCCATTTAGCTTTGTTTAAGTATGCTCTATGCTGGTTACACAACGACAATATTTTCTAAGGTCATGTTTCTCAGCAAGTATCCCCATCATTCATCAATGTATGACCGTATTCCAAAACTGATGAAAGGCATCAATCCACCAATTTGAGAAGCCCTGTGAATCCAAAGCAGAATGAACAGTTATTCTGAGACATATTGTAAAACAACCAATGTGAAATCTGGGTTTATTGGGGGTGGTGAGTCCCTGTGTGACCTTGTGGGATTAGAGGAAGATAAGTGGGTGCCTTTTGATTATCCTTGTAACTCACCTCTCAGACTTCTCTGGTCCCAGGTAATAGATTTCCAGTCGGTCAGGTCTGTGTGTCTCTTTACACTAGTGTCGACTGAGATGTGGCTAGCGAACTTCTGGTTTATTCTTTCAGCTGGGTTAAAAGCCTGTGGTTCTCATTGTTATCTCAGCCTGTCCTAGGTCTCACTGACCTTTACATTCTAATTCTTCATCATGGTCCTCATTAAGAAACCTATCCTGTGCCTTCTGTGGTACAGTCATTATCCTCTGGCTACAGAAGCCCTTGTACATCATCTTCTTCTCACTTCAATTGTCTTTAACCTAGTGGTTAAAGAATAGACTTCATACCTAGATTGACTTTGTGTTAAAATCCTGGTTTCCTATTACAGCAGTGTAACCTTGGGCAAGATAATTAACCTCTCTGTGCCTCGCTCTCCACAATTAAAGAAGTGCAAACAGGGCCTATGTCATAGGTCTGTTGAAAAGATGAAATAAGACCATTTCTGTAAAGTACTTAGACTTGTTCCTGGCACACAGCTCTCAGTAAATGTTAACTATTATTATTTATTGAGATTCATGAAGGTCCAGTAAATAACACTCCA